TAAAGAAAAGATTGAACGAAGCTAAAGGAAAGTGGAGAGAAATTTTGCCCGAAGTCCTTTGGGGATATCGGACAACATCTAAATCCAGTACAGAAGCAACCCCATTTTCCCTAGTGTATGGATCTGAAGCTCTAATTCCGGTCGAAATCGGGGAACCAAGCGCAAGGTCCCGACATACATCGGAAGAATCGAACTACGAGGCAATGAATACTAACCTCGAATTATTAGATGAAAAACGAGAGGCGGCACTGGTTCGAATGGCTGCACAAAAACAACGAATCGAAAGGTACTACAACAGAAGAACCAACCTCCGCCATTTCAAGGCCGGGGACTTGGTCCTAAGGAAGGTCACCGTCAACACTCGAGATCCTAGTGAAGGGAAGCTCGGCCCAAATTGGGAAGGACCCTATCAAATCCTCGATATAATCGGGAAATGGTCTTATAAACTTGGAGCAATAGATGAAAAACCATTACCAAACAATTGGAACATATCGCTTCTCAAACGATATTACTGTTAGTGTCTATATACGTATATTCGACACTAACTCATTGCAGGAATTCAACGAAAAACATCAAGAACTCTAGTTTCAAAGCACGCATTGTACTCTTTTTCCCTTAAGTTCGACTTTTATCCCAAATGGGTTTTTCCGGCAAGGTTTTTAACGAGACAACAACTATGTGCTACCCGGGGACAAATCAATAGTATCCGAGGCTCCTTCATAATCAACCTCGAATACTGGGGGGCTAGCTACCAAGCGAATAAATCAAGTTCGGCACAAGAAAGTTGCTCCATATCAAATTCATGACAAACAAGGTCTCGATAGAGAAAAGTGTAAGGGCCAAATGGTCAAAACGAACCACAAACACGTAGTTTTGCTCGAACTCTGGCACAAGATACAAACACATTTGTAATGACTTATAAAGGAGAACTTTTTCAGATATCTCCTACTTTTAAAAGATTTTCCTGCTTCATGATTCAAACAGGCTTAAAGGCCAACCACCATGAAAGGGATTTTTGATACAAGCGATCATAAAAAGCCTACGGGCTAAGATATTCTGAGTTCGAGTTCGAAACAATCGCTCACTCAATTATTAAAGCCTAAAGGCTATCTTACTTCGAGTTCGAGTAATCACTCGCTCGGTCATAAAAAGCCTACGAGCTAAGATATTCTGAGTTTGAGTTCGAAACAAACACTCACTCAATTATTAAAGCCTAAAGGCTATCTTACTTCGAGTTCGAGCAGTCACTCACTCAGTCATAAAAAGCCTACGGGCTAAGATATTCTGAATTTGAGTTCGAAACAAACACTCACTCAATTATTAAAGCCTAAAGGCTATCTTACTTCGAATTCGAGCAATCACTCACTCGGTCATAAAAGGCCTACGGGCTAAGATATTCTGAGTTCGAGTTCGAAACAAACACTCACTCAATTATTAAAGCCTAAAGGCTATCTTACTTCGAGTTCGAGCAATCACTCACTCAGTCATAAAAAATCTACGGGCTAAGATATTCTGAGTTCGAGTTCGAAACAATCACTCACTCAATTATTAAAGCCTAAAGGCTATCTTACTTCGAGTTCGAACAATCACTCACTCAATTATTAAAGCCTAAAAGCTATCTTACTTCGAGTTCGAGCAATCACTCACTCGATCATAAAAGTTTACAGGCTAATATACTTTGAGTTCGAGTTCGAAACAATCACTCACTCAATTATCAAAGCCTAAGGGCTATCTCACTTCGAGTTAGAACGTTCACTCGACTACTAAGCCTGTGGGCTACTTTTATTTTTCGAGTTCGGGCGAGCGCCCACTCGACCACTAAGCTTGTGGGCTACTTTTATTTCGAGCTCGAGCTAACACTCACTCAGCCATAAAGACTACGAAGGCCGAATTCGATGAAATCACCTAAATCCTCATGAAAACATCCACAAAGCATAAATAAAATCTTCACGAAGTAAGTCAGTAAAAGAAAAATATATTTGTATAGATATACAAGGATGGTTTACATAAATAAATGCGACATAGAAGCTAAGGGCTAAGCTTCTGGGTTGTCATCGAGAGCAGTCTCTTCTCCACCGGGCTCTCTCCCATCTTAGGACCCGCTCTTGCTACCATCATCATCATCGTCATCATCGTCATCATCGCCATCAGAAGCCAGGGCTTCAGCTTCAGCTTCGAGTTCTTTAGCCCTTTTTATCTCTTCAGCAAGGTCGAAACCTCGAGCGTGTATCTTCTCGAGGGTCTCCCTCCGAGACCGACACTTAACAAGTTCGGCAACCCAATGTGCTCGAGTGTCGGCAGTATCCGCTGCCTCTCTTGCCTCCATTTGAGCAGCCTCGGCATCGGCCCGATACACGGGAATGGACTTGTCCGCCAAGACTTTCGACGACTCGACCTCTGCCTTGGCCTCAACAAGCCGTGTTTCAAGCTCCTCGATCCTCTTGGCCTGAGCCAAACCCTTTTGCTTGACGCTTCGAAGCTGAACATCGGCCGATAATAATTTGGCCAAGATGGTTTCTTTTTCCGCAG